TTCCTCCGGCGTAGTGTGGAACTCCTTCCGTTAACCACACCTTTTAAGGAATGTCTTTCAGTTGCCATGGAGTGTTTAAGCAGCCTGTCCAAAAATGCGCTCGCCCCGCAGAAAACCCTTCTATATAAAAGTAATACAAATATGCCACATTTAAAAATTTTTTTTTTTTACTGCAAAATCTTGACTGTCAGCAATTTCTATGTGATTATTTAAACCTACATTCTCTGCAAAATTTTGCCTTTACAATCACTGTCCTTATGACTATAAAATTAATTAAGCTATTTTCAGTAATTAAAATAATGAAGCAAGTTGATTATTATTTTTTCGTAAACATCTATACATTATTTACAGAAAGCCTATCTGGGAGGCAGATGACATCACCATTCTGTAAGGTACATGAATCTATCACACGTGGTTCTACATAGCATTTTAAAATGTTTACCAGCACATTGAAATACTGTGACATTAAGCTCAATATCTCTCGGCCAACCGTGCGATTGCCTGGACAATATATCTACATAGCTCTACATAGCATTTTGATTTTTTTCACATGTACATTATTGGAATACTCTGACAGTAGCTGAATTCTTTCAAACTAGCATTTAAACCGACTTCACTTAAGCTGAACGAATCTATTTTAGAGAAATAAGTGATCTAGCGTACAAAAGATGACATTTCCACTCCTTTTGCAAAACCTTGGAATTTTATTTCGCGATTATGCCGAGCAATTCGTTACTTCTGAAAAAGCTCCTAGTATAAATCAACATGTTGTTTACAGGAAGTGGAATTCGTTATTTTGGTGTTTTGTAATTGTGACAAAGCCAGAGTTGAACGACTGGTTTGTTAAATTGTATGTTTAGTTCACAATGCTAATTTAGTCAGTACCCTCGTTCGATCGTGCTTGATACAGGCGGGTACATTAAGAAAAATGCCAGTAATATGATCAGGACGTAAAGACCGAGCGCAGCGAGGTCCGTACGTCCTGACCTTGAGCCAAATATTTTCCCGTCCGGCCCGACCTTACTCAGTCAATAAGCATTTTATCATATGACCACGTATTATTGAAAATTTTGAAAATTCTGTTATAACCGTAGATAGGACGCGATTACATAACATCAGACGGCCGCGCGCGGAACAACTGCAGAAAAGATTCTACAATAAAAACTTGTCATTTTGTTCTTAGCGTCGAGCAAGAAACTCACAATTCATCGAAAAACACGACTCATTTTCTCATTTGTGCTTTAAGTCCACAATTACAATTCATGCTAAAAAGCCAACAGAAAGTTGACATAAATATGTCAAAAATATGTCAAAACCATCAAAACCTTGGCGAGTGACAAAAGCTCGCTTCACACTTCACTGAAATTGTTCACAAATCTTCTTCATCTAGAGACTCAATAAAATGTCGGCGCCGTTTCAAGCTATTTGTCGATCTCTTGGATTCTCTTGAACAAGGGAGAACCAGCAATTGAATATTAATGACACCGGTGTTGGCTCTCGCAAACAGTGCCGGGGTTTACTGACTTTGCTGGCTTTATTGTGTAGTGGAAATTACACTATTAAACACAAGCGAGCTTTATTGTCTGGATGAACTGTACGATAATGAACTTGTGTTCGTACTCAGTTTTGTCTCTTCAAACAACACTGATGTAGAAACTACAGAGCAATTTATCCTACTGTACACAAGGTATGTTTGTGATTTCTCTGGTTTAACCAACTTGCCAGAAACTCTGAAAAATCGAAGAAAACATTTAAGCTTATATCGTACTTTGCTTTCTTGGCGTTGCCGGGTTTTCTTGCTTTTGACCCACGATGAATTCTTTTGATGCTTTCCACTGAAAGAAGTTTCGCCTCAAGACTGTTTACTTATTCCAAAGGTTAATTACCGGACAGTTCATCCGGAAAAGCTGTTTTCTTGACCGCCCGTTTGCTTGTTGTTGGCTTCTGAGAAAGTTGGCAACTTTTTCATTTGTGAGGAGTGTTGACTTTCTCAGTTTCATTGCTTTCGGAGTGAGTTGGCGACTGAAGTAGTTCTGCATCGGACAGTTCGCCTGGATAGTAAAATTCACTCTCAGAATGTTCACTTTCATCACTCATTTTGAAGAGAATAAAATTTTGCAGCAAAGAAGTTGTTTTTGTCATTAACTGGCATCGATTTTGCTGAACGCGTTTCTAGTAGGGCCCTACGCATTTCTAGAAGGGCCGTACGTGTTTTTCCGGCCTTATCGGCTTCCACACGTACGGTCCTCATGCATACGGGACCTTTTTTCTTATGGTTTTCCAAGGAAATTGCGCGCGGGGCCGTACGGGTCATATGA